CCACGCCTTTTTAAATAATTTAATATAAAATAAATTAGAAAAAGCCTTTAATATCCATTCCTTCCCTAAAAAATAAATTTCTAAAAATTTTTTAGCTTCTCAAAAAATCTTAAAATGAATAATTTTAATTTACCCTTAAATTTTTTAATTTCCTTCTGGCTTATTGGCCATTCTTTAGCTCAGATAGACCCTTCTATATTAAAGACTGCTAAAGCAAGAGGTCCCTTCACATGGCACTTTAATGAATGGTTGAAATCGTAAGTTGATTAATTTTTTTAAAAATTTTTATGATATTTGGGAGTATGTAGATAGTGATCTAGGGATTGTTTGGGTATAAGACGAGCGGTTCTGTGTATCCGAAGATACCCAGGAACCTCCACCTCTACTAGTTGGGTACTGCCTATTCCTTTTGAGTAAATTTTATTCAAACACATTTTAATTCAGAAATTATTTTCTAAAAATTATATAGAAACAATTACGGCATCTACAAATTTGATTCACCCGAAATTGGCCACCAGGCGAGCTTTGGAGGGAAACAATTTCACGGAGAAGAAGTTCGAAAGCGTCCAGTAATTTTCATTCACGGAAATTCTGACGGAGCTTTATCTGCGGGGGAAGAGGAATGGGCACAAGGATGGAGTGCTACAATCTCTCATTTGTTAGCCAATGGATATTCAACATCCGAACTTTATGCTGTCACATATGGAGACAGAAACTTTACTAACACATTAAAAAGGTGTGAAATATTTTTTTAGAAAAATAAAATTTAAATTAATTTTAATAATTTTTAGAACTGTCGACTGTGAAACCCTTATACGCCTACGACGCTTCTTAGAGTCAGTTCTTCAATATACGGGTGCCCAAAAAGTGGACATTGTTTCCCACTCTATGGGTGTCACTCTAGCTAGACAAATCATCCAAGGTCGCGGAATTGAAGATTTAAGTGCTGATGAAGATTTGGAGCAATGCTATTTGGGTCCTTCACTTCGACAAAAAGTCCATACATTTATTGGCATTTCTGGTGCCAATTATGGAATTTGTATTTGTTCTGATGAAAAGTTGGCAGAGACAGCACCAGCTTGTAGTAAAAAGACTGGATTTTGGGCTGGTTCAGGCTGCCCGAATGCTCCGATTGATGAATGTCATTTAACGAGTCCAACATCAAGTAGATCACATTGTCACAGTAATGGACGTTATTCGGCAACATTGAAACGCTTGAATATGCCTACTAGACCTAAAGATGCCCATTATGTTGTATGTTGAGATAAATTATTATTTTAAAATTTATTCTCTCATTTACAATGTTTATTAACCTCTCGTTAAACCATAATTTTTAGTCGTGAGGGCAGGATTTAAAATTAGAATTCCTCTAAATATATTATTTTATTATCAATTTTTTAAGTCTTGGAATCAAGTTTTATTGTTTTCCAAACATTCAGGTCAGTATTTGGTCTGACGGTGATGCTGTTCTCGGCAAAACCAACTTTGCTTGGGGCCGACAGACTTCTTTAATTCCGAACAGCGACCATTCAGCTATTTATTCCAATTTAAGTCATTACTCAATTAAATGGAAAACAGTTGAAGATCAGTTAGAATTTCTTTCAAATGGACAGAAAAGTGAAGAAAAATAAAAATATGTAAATATATGTATGAAGATTTTTGTCTAGCCAATAAATAATTATACCTATTACCCAGATTATTTAAATTTAATCATTCCTATTTTTTAAATTTTTTTGTTTCTTTTTTAAATTTTGTTTTTAATATATTTGTGAATAAAATTTTCTTTTCTTAATAAGTTTTGAATTTAAAAGAATTAATAGCTACTTTAAATCTACGGATATTCTCAATGTTTTTAAATTAAAATCAGGATTCTTTTGTCTTCTAAAAATATAGGTTATTTTTTTAATTGTTAGATATGTACATATTTTTTAAACCAAAAAAAAAATTAAATGATTTTATAATTTTTTAACAAACTGTAAGTAATTTGTTTTTTAAATTAAATTTTATTTCGAATGTTATGTTTATTAAAACAAAATCAAAAAAGGAAGATATACCCAATTAAAAGGAAAGTTTTTGTATTAATTTAACACATTTATTCCTATAAAAATCATCTCACATTGTTTTGATTCATAAATTGCCTCTAAAATTATAAAATTTATACAAAATATTTTAAATGTCTATAAAGTTTTTTAAATAAAAAATAAACATACTAATGGTAAACACAACGACCACCATTACATCCCGTGGCACCTTTAGCACAGCAGCTTAAATTTTACAATAAAAAATTTTTTAGATGAAATGGATTTTAATTATATAAAAACTGAATATTGAAATTTAAATTAAAGGAATTTTTTTAATAAAAAAATTATTTTATAATTTTAAATTATTACCGTATTTACTCTAGTAATCCCCCAGTCTTTAATAATTCCCCAGTCTCTATTAATTCCTCACCCTGGGGATGGGTTGAAACAATAATCCCCCTCTTTCTACCCCACTCTATTAATTCCCCACCCTAGGGATGGGTTGAAACAATAATCCCCCTGGGGAATTACCAGAGTAAATACGGTATATGAAATCTTGAAAAATGTAAAAATATAGGGTAAAAACTATTTTTGAAGTACAGTACTTATAAACCGAACTTCGTAATTACGAAATTTAAAATGTACATACTTATTTGTAGGTTACAAATGAACTTTTTGTTTAAAAAACTAATTTAAACTCTCTCAAAGTCTTCGCCTACGGCATTGAAAAAGGAAAAAAATCCGGTGCTCGGTCTTCCAAAATTTTCCCCTGTGGCACTAAAAGAGACTCATTTTGGAGATAACTATGAGTGAGAGAACTATTTTTGGAGAGAACTATTGAGCAAAAATAAATTTTTTAATTGTATTTACATATGTAGAGTACTTATATTTGGGAAATTTCTACTATGTACTTATAAATTCAACTCTGTACTTCAACTTAACATTTTCACAAAAGAAGCCTGTGTTTCTAAGGCCTTTGGCAATTAAGGTAAAATAACCTCTCAATCATTATTAAATCAAGTCAAATTTATTTAAAATATTTACCCAAGGCTTGGATATCTATCTACTTGACCATCCAATATCGGAATCGGGCAACATATTGCACAGTATGGGCAATTACAATTGTTTTGAGTAGAAATGCCTTTAGCAGAAATTTCTTCAGATTGAATAATATTAATAAATAAAATAATATAAAATAAATTAATTAAGTTCTTGTTCATTTTAATTATTTCTTAATTTTATAAAAAATAAATTTTAATTCGCGAATATTTAAAAAAATAATTTTGATAGTTAATTAAATTTGAGTTAATTATGAAGCCTTGATTACCCCCTCATTGTTTAAGATGTTATTTACGACATTCGTTAATGTTAGGGCTTGTAGACCAGGGCTCGCATTTCGCGTTTCACATCTTTCGCATATTTCACATTTTTCAGCGCAAAAAGTTTCGCATTCCGCATTTCGCTTTTTATTTTCGGATTTCGCCCAGTCCAGTTGTAGATCTTTCTTATATAGATTAATTGATCCTAGGCAGCAGAGATAATCGGTAAAATTTGGCTCTTGCTCAGTATACGTCCAAACAACCATATTAGGTCAAGCAACTTTTTATATGGCCAATAAAAAGTCTATGCGTCCAATCTATGACAATAAATGCCCGGTTCTGTGTTTTATAGAATGGCCCGGTATTTTGCTTGTGCACTATAAGCCAAAGTGAGTAGAGCTCTATATTTTTACTGCGTCTCATTTCTGAGCAAACAAAAATGGAAAGGAAAATAGCGAATTGAAGCAAAATTTTGATGATCCCTGGTAAGAAGACTGAGAATATTGAAATTGTGTCAGCTTATATGTATCCAAATTTATTTGCTCTATCCAGCCTTTTTTATATCGGGTTCAAAGTCCGTTAATTTTTAATAGACACTATCTACTTTGAAAGCAAACAAAAATTAATTGGAATTGGCCAATGTACTTTTCTGTAAAAGCTAAAATGATGCAATCTTCTAAAAATATTAATTTGAAAGCTCATTTTTGTAAAAATTTATGATAAGTAGACTAAAAATTAAAGGTAAAAATACATAAAGGTTATAGATTTTTATTGTGGATTTTCGGTTTTTAAAATACAATTTAATGTTCATAGTATCAAAATTAAAATACATATTATCTTATATGTATTTTATATAAGATAATATCTAAGATATATATTATCTTATATTATTAAAATTATTATTTAGACAAAAAATAGAAAAGTAAAAGATTTATTAACATTTGTGATTAAATCAAATAAAAATTAGGTAATTATTTTTTTATTCTTCTTCATCATTTAAATTACTCTGAATTCTATATCGAATTTTTAGAACATGAAACCAAGAATGTTCATTCGAGAAAAATAAACGATATATTCCTGTCATTTCACTTTTATGTTGGCCACTCATTGGTACATATGTTGGACCGGGAATGTGCTAAAAAATTTAATTTCAGTGGAATTTCTTCATAACAACACCATTCTGAAGGAATTTTACTTCAGTAAGAGGGAAGTGACAATGAAGGGGAAAGGGCTAGGACTAGTTATCCGAAATCCGATTTAGAAAATTTCAAAAACCCTATCCGAAATCTTACTCGACCTTTTTCTCTGCCCAGCCATTCTTGGAGTGGAGAAAAGGAAAGTTAGAAACACGCTCGGAGACGTCGTTATAGAGGGATTTTTAAAAATAATTGGCCGAACCCGAAACCAAAGGTCAAAACCTTGCGATAACTGAAAACTGGTGATTAAAACCGACCAGTCTTGGTCATCGGTAAAATTATTTCAAAAAAATAATTAAATTAATTAATTACATTAAGTCTTGGATAAATCATTTTCCACTGATTACTTTTTTCATCCTCCACAAAATAAAAGCCAAAAGAAAAATGCCCATCTGTTTCAAACTTCCAATTCACCCAATCGTCATAAAATTAATTTAAAAAATTATTTAAATTAATTTAAAAAACTAATTTACTTTCTCCACTTTTAAATCTACATAAGAACTTTTGCCTGGAGAAACATTTAACTGTTTGTAATAACCAGAAGCAACACTTTCTTTTGGATCAGATTTGTAAAGTGAATTTCGGTCAACTGGCTTTGAACGGTTTAATTCAGCTAAAAATACCTAATAATTTAAATAAAATTTTTATAAAGGAATATGTATTAAAATATTTCAGTTTGAAAATCATTAAAATCATTACCTAAATACATATAAACAAAAATAGAATACTAAAAAAATGAAAAACCATAACATTTATTTAAAGAATTTTTCAAATTCCCGGCCCTCAAATCAAAGTGTTTCTATTTTTACATGGACCCGGACCTCAGGAGTTAGCCCTGCTCCCTGACCGACCCTGTTTCTTCGAACTCTAACAAACAAATTTCAATTAAATTTTTACCCTATTTTCACACGATTCATTCCAAAATGCCGGTAATGCTTTTGGAGTCGCCATTTCAAGAATTTCTCTTCGCCAATGTGAAGCTCCCATAATAATTACTTTTTGTCTCGTTTTTTCAGGTAATAAAGGTTTAGCTATAGACCAAATCATACTAATAAATTCGGGAGCATTAACGAGAACAAAAGACCTAATTAATTCAACATAATGTTCTGTAATAAATGTAGAAAGTGAACGAAGGGCCCCTCTAAGCATTGTAATTAAATTAGAATCAAAGTGTAATCCACTCAAATCCATTATATACATAATTGAATGTTGGTGACCTTTAAATATTTTTTTAAAAATTAATTAAACTATAAGTACCTGTTTCTTTCTCCTTTTCCATTATTTTTCTTAACATTGTTTCCAAATCGTATATCCTCGCCATTAGAATTTCATTAAGTGAGAATTTATGCAAAATTCCCCAATAATCGTTAGCGCCAGTCTGCTCAACATTAACAATACAATTTGGTGTTAATTCTGCCTCACAAGTCAATCCAGACTTTAAAATTAATTTTGTGAAATTGGAGAAATAAAAGGATTTTATGCTCACCTCCCAATAGGAATGTACAGGATTGTTACGAGGGCCTAAAAAAATAATATATTATGATGCATTGGGGTATGTCAAAGAAATTATTAGATATATACACATTTATTAGAGCTTACCAGTGCTGGGTATGGCCTCGAGAGCTAACTTCGAAGACAGCTCCATCCAGAGCTAGGAATTTGAAACCTCCGCAACCGGAGCCACGAAATTCCCAATACCCAACACTGAAGCTAACTCCAGACTGAAAGCTGACTAACTCCAGACTTTTATTTTGCTTAGAAAACTATGAAACGGCGCAAAATATCAGTTGTTATATATCAAAAATGCCCTTATATCCAAAACTAATTTTTAATTAAATTTAATTATTCACCGTCAGCAATAATATCCAATTTAAAATTAGACTTTCTCATTGCCAAATGACTTTTGAGTTTTGGAACAATTTCTTCAAAATTATTGTGATGGCCTTGAAGCCAACGCAACAAATTAAAGTCTGTATCATAGTAAGGTGTTAACTTTAAATTGAAAATAAATTTTTAAAAATAACTAGGTAATTTGTACCTCCTCTTTAACTAATTCTCTCAACTTTTTTATATTAGCTAAATCTTTATCATTTATTGAAAGACTAATATTATTTTGAATAACTTCCATATTTAAAATAAATTTTTAGAAAGAAAATGGGAATATAATAAATAATTTTAATAAAAATAAATAAATTTCTCGGATTATTTTAGATCTGAAAGGAAAATTTGTTTTTATTAAATCCGTGAAGAAAAATAAAATTAGGGCATTGGATTTGTGTCAGTGGAGGAGAGAAAATGGGGGAGAAGAAACTAAAAGTTTGTATGTACCTTTTTAGCTAACAAATAAATATTTAATGAATAAAAAGGAAATAAAAAATAGATTGAAAATAGATTAAATAAAGGTTAAAAATGAATGTGATTTTACAAAGAATATTTAATTTATTATTGACAGCCTTTAATCGATTAATCAGTTTTTGAAATGCTGAAAAACATTTGAAACATTTTAAAATAAAATTAAAAATCAAAAATAAAAGTAACAAACACCAAAAATAAAAAAAATTTCAAGAAAAATTTAGGTACCAGCCATCATTCATTAATTTTTATTTTTGTCCACTCTTGAAATACTGTTCATCTTCAACTTTGTCTATCCCCATATTATCTGTTATTGTTTCTGGGTGTTAATTTATTTGTAGTCCTATCATTAATTTATAATCAAAATATTCAGAATTTAAAAATTAAAAGCTTAACTCAGAATATTTAATCCTCAAATATCCAACATAAATATTTATTTCCAATCAATTTTCACAAAATATTAACGTGAATATCATTCAATATAAAAATTAATTACAAATTCTTTTTACAATTAACAAACAAACAACAAAACAAGCATTAAAAGAAAAGCAAAAATTTGCCACGTTTGCATTTTTTCCAAATAAAAACGAATGATTTTTTAATTTATAAAATGAAAGCCACGTTTTTATTATTTTCTATATTTTCTATATTTTATAAAATTTTCAGTATTTTCTTTCTCACAAAAATATTTGGGGATTTAAATATTTTCTTAGTCTTTCTTTAAAGGTTTTTAATTTAAACCTCCCGTCTCTTTCTCGAACTTTCAATCAAAAATTTATTTTTTAATAAAAAAACTCCAAAATTATTTTTATTTATTCAGCTGAAAATATTCTCAATCAATTTTCCTTTTTTTCATTTTTACATCGCAAATTTCTCCAACACTGAAAACTAAATACATATATTATTTGCTAATTTTATCGCGCGCAATTTTTTATAATTAGATATTATTTGAGTTAATCTCTAAAATAAAAAATAATAATTTTAATTTAATTAAACATTTATAATTTAAATGGCCGACAACATTGCCAACAGTTTGGATTTTATTTATTTAAATATTTAAACTAGGGATACTGCTTTCTCGATTTCTGAGTCCCGAAAATCGAGAACGTTTTTTGGGCAGGGAATTCCGACTCCCATAAATTTGGAATTTATTTTTTATGTCGGCACATGCTGTGACTTATAACCAAACTCCTCACAAGGATGGAATTTTTCAGTACATATTTATTCTGAAAGCCTGATTGACATTAAATTTAGAACTCTAGAATTTTGAACTAGCCATTTCCAACTCTCAATTATTTTTTAATTATTTTTCAGTTTTACCCCTATCAAGTATTAAATTGGGAGTTGAGACTGTTGAAGTAGAATTAGAACAAAATGATGGCTCTCTTTTACTCTCAACAATTCAATCAGCATTCCCAAATTCAATAGGGATATATTATAGACCTAAAGGAAAGGAATGTAGAACAATGCTTAAATTTGATGGACGCCGATTTATGCCTCCAAGTGGAGGGTGGAAATCTGGAATTGAATATTTTGTTGAAATGGGGGGTTAGTGTAGGGGGAAGGGTGAAGGAAAGGAGATAAAAAATATTTTTGAAGGTGTTAGTAGGCATTCAACATTCCCTTTTGGAAGTTATGAAAATGCCTCAAAACAATTTGAGCGTTCTGTTAATTTAGTTCAGAAAATGATGAATGGATGTTCAATTAAAGCTAATGGACAAAAACATGTTAACAATGGTTGAGTATTTATATAAAGAACAGAAACAAATATGAAAAATTCAAATCAGAATACAAAACCAGAATAAAACATGAATCTGAAATCAAAACAACCATAAATTAATAAAGGAACTAGAATTAAAAACCAGAATTAAATCTGAACATTCTATAAAATCAGAATAAGCATCAGAATTGAAATAAAAATTAAATAAATAAAAACAAATAAAATATTCTGATTTTTTAATTTTCAGATATTTCAAGATTGTCAGAAGACGATTCTGCTTATTTTGAAAACAGAAATAATATTACAAACGAGGAAATGGGAGTAATATCGCCTATATCTAAAACAGTCCAAATATTTAATGACAGTGATTATTTGGATGGACAAAGACAAAATAATATTGAATTGACTAAAAAAGTTAATAATTAACCTCTTTAATTTAAAAAATAAAAAAATTTTTAGATAAATTCTGAACAAAAATCACGTAAAAATTCTGAAACATTAAACGAATCTAAAGCAAATACTTCTCGAGAATTGAAAAGTTTAGAGAAGGATTTTGCTGATTTGGCTCGTATATGTACTGGAAAGGATTCGATAATTGATGGACAAAGAATGGAATTAGAAGAAACAAAAAATGAATTGGAAAGAATTAAGGTTGGTAATCAGAACCAGAATTAAACAAGTTTTTTGAAATTAATTCTGATTTATTCTGACTTTAAATTAAATTCTTATATTTATTTAAAGTTAGAAGGAAATAAATGGAAAGAAGAGTTATTAGAGTGGGACAGTAAATGGGCGGCAGCACAACAAGAGTTGGAAATTATGCGAAAATTGGGTAAAGATCAAGAATTCCTTCAAGGACAAATAACTGAAATGTCAGTACAAATAGATAATGAAAGGGAAGCTTGGGAAAAAATTAAAGGAGAATTGGAGTTACAATTGAAAAAATGGCAAAAAGATGCTCAGGATTGGAGAGAAAAGTAAAGAAAAAAATAAATTTTTATTAAAAATGGCACTTGTCTATATAAGGGTCCCAAAAATTCTGATTGAAATTAATCTTCTTATTTATTCTTAAAATGAAAGATTTGGGCAAAAACGGCATTAAACACTTTGTGAATTTAAAAAAATAATCAGGGATGTCTAAATTCCATAGGGTCTTAAATAAGAGCCATTAAAATCAAAAAAAAATAGAAGTGAATTATCAACATGGGCAGTGCAAGAATTAACAGAGCAACTTAAAAAATTGCAAAGAGAAAAAACTGATTTACAACGAAAAACAACAATATTGGAGGAACAAGTAAATGGAGAAGCAATTGAATTTAATCGTCGCTTTAAGGAACGTGAGAGAATACAAAATGAATTGTTGACTGATAATACTAGACTATATCAGATGTAAATAAATATTTAATACTGGTTCTTAATGAAAACACAATTTCCAGAAATCTTCCAGTTACAGTAAATATCCTAATACAAGCCCATCCCCAATAGAAGCCCATGCCCTATTAGCAGTTCACTCAGTGAGAGATATTTAAAATAAACGCCCAGGGCTTCGACTATTAGGAGATCAACGATAACGATAAAGCTTAATTAACACTAAATTAAGCTACATTTTCTGAAAAATAAAAAAATTCTGATAACCTAGCTGAATTTCTTATATTTTTTCTGCAAACTTAAGATCCACAAAAATATGTATAAGCAAGAATAAAAAAAGAAAACCCAATTTTACAAAAAATATTAATTATTATTTTAATTTAAGAAATGACCAACTTGAAAATAAATTTAAAGAATTAAAAGAAGAAAATGAAAAGTTGAACGAAAAATTGTTAATCAATGAAAAGGAAAATGACAAAAAATTGGAAGAAATTAAAATAAAATTTAATGAAAAGGTTAAAAAATATTAAATTAATTTTAATTTTTAAATTTAAGGAAAATAAATTTAACAAATTTTTGACTGAAAAAGAGGCAAAAATTGAGGAAATGGGTGGGAAAATAAAGGAATTGACTAAACAAAAATTGGATTTACAAGCAAAGCTACAACAATTAACAAATCATTCTCAAGTAACTGAAGGTGGGAATGATCCTCTTTTTGCTTATACACAAGACTGATAAGGAAAAAATAATAATTTATTATTGGCTAATTTAATTAAAATTTTTATGTATTAAATTTTATGTAGAAATATTTAACGTGCAAGATTTTAATTAAAAACGAAGAGAATCTTTTAAATATTAATAATTAAATTTTTGATTTGGTGTCCACTTGAAATATGTAAGATATTGTAAGGAATAAGGGGGATCTAGCAACTATCTTTTGAAACGCTTACTAGGCGATGATTTAAGATCTTGATAAGGAGAAGATGAAAGTAGCACCCAGGGTGGCCTTTTCCAAACCACTAAAATAGGGCGCAGGTACTCAAAAATAGGGCGAAATCTAACTCTAATAATAAACCGACAGTCTCTTTTTCAGTGCCGCGGGCGAAAATTTTGAGAATTTATAAAGTTAAGATAAAAATAGGGCAAAATATGGTAAATGTACAAAATAGGGAAAAAATAGGGCGAAAAGATCAAAAATAGGTAAATAAGGCAAAAGGGACACCCAGGCCTCGGCGGTAGGTTGGGCTCTGGTAGTTGGCCTGAAAAGATGACCACGTCAAGTTGAATGTCGTCGACCACGATCACGTCAAGATGACTGTCGTAGGCCACGACCACGTCAAGATGACTGTCGTCGACCACGATCACGTCAAGATGACTGTCGTAGGCCTCGACCACGTCAGGATGACTGTCGACGACCACAACCACGTCAAGATGACTGTCTTCGACCACGACCACGGTCGTCGACCACGACCACGGTCATCGACCACGACCACGTCAAGACGACTGTCGTAGACCACGACCACGTCAAGATAACTGTCTTCGACCACGACCACGTCAAGATGACTGTCGTCGACCACGACCACGTCAATATGACTGTCGACGACCACAACCACGTCAAGATGACTGTCGTCGACCACGACCACGGTCGTCGACCACGAACACGTCAAGATGACTGTCACCATCTTGAAATTTTAAAAATTGATAAAAATAGGGCAAAATATGGCAAATGTACAAAATAGGGGAAAATAGTGCGAAAAGATCAAAAATAGGGAAAATCCTCTATAAATAGGGTAAAAAGGCCACCCTGGTAGCACCTGTACGGAGAGAGGAAAAGTGTCTTGCATTAACTGCCATTGCTGGATCATCAATGCCTGTTCGAGACTAAGCTTTACCACTCTCTTACTACAAATGTTTTATAGTAAGAAATTTCCTTTTAAATTTTATTTATTTTTATTTAAATAAACATATCACTGGGAATATTTGTTTTACATAACTTCTCTTTTAAACTTTATTTTATTTTACTCCATTTCTGTTTTTATTGTTTGATGCTTTACTTGCATTTGTTGTTGTCGTTTACGTCTTCGACATTCTGAATGAGATGAAGGCATTAAATTCCCCGTCTCTCTAAATCTTTAAATAAATTATTAAAAGAATATTTTTGGTTGAAATTTCAATACCTTGTAATAATTTTTGAAACACATCCATGTGATATACACAATTGCTTAGAGATAGCATTAACTTTCATACCACCATGGAAAAGCTGAATTATTTTTGCTCTTTCTTCCATACTTAATGGACGGCCTAAAAATAATATAGAAATTATTTTTATAAAATAAACACTACAAAAAATACCTGGACAATAGGACCTTCCGTAGAGATTTGTACCTCGGCCAGATGCTGGGCAAGAATAATAAAATGTTTATTAATTAAATAATAAAACATAAGGTACAAGAATTTATCGGATTTCATGAAAGCATTTTAAATTATTAAATTTTAGGGTATCACAAAAATACAGACATAATACTTATACATAGGGATCATCGGAGTTTGGCTGTCAGTATAAAACTATGTCTTCACTTATTTACGATAATTACTTTAATTCAAGGCCCCTTTTAATTCAAGCCTAGGCCCATCAATATAAACCTAATAATAACTTAATTAACACCACCTTTGTCAACATTTCTTTTTCTTCGTACTTTATTGTTGTTACTACATTCATTTTTGTAATTATTCTGATTATTTCTTGCCCTTTTTACTGTTGTACCTTGTTGTTGTTGTTGATTATTATTATTTAATATTAAATGATTATAAAATCCTAATTGATGCGAACAAGAAGAAATAATTGAAGAATTATTACAAAAAATATTAGAGTTCCCCGGGCTTATTGAGGAAGAAGAGGCGGCAGATGAGGATGAAGAGGAAGAAGAATAATATATAGTAGATGGAATTGAGGCTGAATATTCCATTGGGATTAAAAATGCTGGTGATTCTTCTATTGGAGTTATTGTTGATGAAATTGTAGAGGGAAAGGAAGAGGAATTGGTTGCAAAAAGGCATGGACGAGAAATGTCTGTATCAGGCTCAATACCCTTAATTTAATTTTAAAAGGTATTAATGAGCTGCTAAACTTTCATGTTTATTCCTTACATTAAGCCAGGCATAAAAATCACGTTCCAATGCAGCTGGAGAGCTTGTATCAATTAAACACCGACAATTCCTTCGAATTTGCTCCTCTGTTATTTTTGCATTTTTAGTGGTAGAAGTCCAATTTGAAGTTTCTTCGATTCGTTCAATTTTAATTTTGTTCATTTTAGTCTTCTCAGGCTTTTTAGAAGTGCAAATAAATTTTATTTTGAAAGAAACTGTGTGGCCATTCTTTAAAAGTTTTCAATTTTCTTGGAAGAAAATAAGAAAAAAGTGAAAGTTGGTATGTATTGTTGTTGTTGTTTTGTGAGTGGATGATTATTGCGAAGAGTAGCAACAACAGCCGCGGGGGGCGACAGGTCGTTGGGGCCATATAAGTTGATCGGCAGCAAAAAAAAGGAAAAAAAGAGAAGACTAGTGCTTTAACCCTAAGGTTGTTGTTGCTTTTGATGTTTATTTATTTTTTTGCTTTTATTTCTTTTCTACGACTTCCACGCATCTTTGTCTAATATTCTTCTTACCTTTGATGCTTATTTTCTTCCCCATTTGGCCAAAAAGTCTAGGCCAGTTTTCAGAGGAGTGCATTCGATGAATATTTTTTCTTCCTTGCGCTTCTTTCAAAAATGAAAAAAAAAAGTTTGCAAAAAAGAGAAATTTATTATTTAATGGGGAAAAGCAGGATTTGATATGTAATTGTAAATTCCTTGGGAATTAAAATTATTTTTAATTTGAAGCGTTGAGTATTTAAAATTTAAATTGTTTGGGACTTTATATGATTAAAAGACAAAACTTCAAATATTATCTCTATTTGGCTCTTTAAAAACCAAATTCTATATAGGTATATCATTTTAAAATTTAATAAAAATCTCTATATCTTGATAAAACAACTTCAAAAATGGCATTATTAGCCATAAAGGAGTTTATAATCTAGTCATTTGTGCACGAACAATCAGCTGAACAAAAATACCTAAATTTAAATGCATCACTTTTCCATTTAATCTACTTTATTAAATCCCTCAATAATATTGAGTCAATATCAAAATTTTTCGTAAATTCCTTTTCCTTTCTAAATTTGTATTCTTTTAATTTTTCTTTAAAAAATAAAAACAAAATAGCTAACAAATTAAAGAAATTGTGCGTATATTAACTAACAAAGTTGCGCAGCACGCGACTTTTCCCACTTGAGTCATTCCACAAAAACTTTTATTTTTGCCCTAAACATCTTGTTTTGCTTCTTCTTTTTCCAATTTAGCAATTTTTGTGGCTGCGCCCTTTGAGCTTTTTTTAATGTTTTTATGAATGGATATTGAGGCATTAATGCTTTTATTATAATAAAAGACGATAAAAAACTTTTCTTTTCCAAAACAAGTTGAATAAATAAAATATAGGTACCTACATATATAAATTTTATTGAAAAATGAAAAAAAATATTCGGAAATAAGATAAAATAAATTTAATTTGATCTAAATTTTTTTCTTCTATTTCTTCTTAATAATAAAAGTCAAAAAATAAATTGTGTTAGCCCGAATGGTTTTTGGTGTTTATTTTTATTAAAAATTATTAAATCGGATCAAAATTGAAAACTATAATTTTAAATAATTTTTAAAATTTAATGACAAATACAGATATTGAAACTAAAATAATTAAATTCTATAATTTTTAAAACCGTAAAACTAGCTTCAAACACATTTTTATTCACCTAATAAATATTCAATACATTTTTTGAATTACTTAAAAATGAATAAATACCGTAAAAACTATTAACTACCCTGGGTAATTATTGTTTCGATTTCTCGCTGGAGGGGATAATAAATAGAGGCGGGGTAATTAATAGAGGTTATTTTAGAAAGGCTAATTATAACTATTTTTAAGGGAGTAATTATTGTTTCAACCTTATGCTGGAGGGGGTAACTAATAGTTTTTACGGTAAATACTTTGGAATAATCAAATTAATAATTTTATAATCTTAATTAATAAGAAAAAAGACAAATTAAACACAAAATAAGAAAATCTTATGATTAAGTAAATATTAAAAACATAAGAACATTCCCTAAAATAAATTAAAAAGACAACAAAATTTTGTCAAAACACAATAATTTTTAAACAAAAATTAATTCTTTTCTCCCTCAAAATTGCTAAAAGCATCCTTACTCAAATTGTTGATTGATGTTTCATTTTCTTCTACAAATTCCAACAACCATTCAGGGACAGATTGTCTAGAATCTTGCAAAACCTGTAAAAAAAATTTTGTTTTTAATTTTTAAACAATTTCCCCCTCACTTTAACAAAATAACTAGCATTTCTTTTATCATTAATACTTGATGGGTCAAAATAAGAAATTGCTGCCCCAACATTTCCAATTCTCCCTGTACGACCTATTCGATGAATGTACTGAAAAAACATTAATATTTTCTGTTTCCGGAAATAAAATAAATCAGAGAACTTTTTCCGGAAACGCTTCTTTTAAATTAAGAATTTCCGTAAAGAATATTAATCTCTCGGACTAAAATATAGTGAGAAATTAAAATTTATTTTTCATCCGTATATATATTAAAATAAAAATTTATTTCCTTCCGGAATTAGCAAGTACAATTTTTCCAGAAAGAATTTAAATAAAAATTAAGACCCAATTTGCATAGAAAAATATAATTTCCGGAAAAGATCAAAATTTTCCATAATTATTTCAAACATATTACCTCATTTTGTGATCCTTAAAGTTAATAAAAAATTTTTAAAAAAGTAAAATTTTTTAAATAAAACCTCTAAGATCCCTCGACGGCAAATCATAATTAATTACATATTGAACATTTGGAAAGTTAAGGCCCCTAGCCCCAACATCTAAAATACATTATTTACTCAATATCCCCCTTAAATTTACCCGTAGCTACCAAAACGTCACATTGATCAGTAGCAAATTTACTAACTGCTAGATATCTCATTTTAAGTGTTAAATCCCTTTAATTTTAATCAATTCTCAGATTAATTTTCAAAAATTAATTACGAATTATAGCTAGAGGCACGTATATTGTTATCATTTAAAGTTAACCCTAAACGATATGAAAGGCGTTTTTGTTCGACAAAAATAATTGTTTTTGGTACTTTCCAATAATCATCTATGTAAAAATTAAATAATTTAAATTAATTCTTTTTAAAAAGTACCCCCATTAGGTTGTGGTACAAGACGTGTTTTTTCATGTTTAAGCAAAAATTCAAGTAAAGTATCTTGTTTTCCATTAATTCCATTTAATGTGTGTTTATTTACCTTTTTTAAATAAAAATATTTTTCTTTAAAAGTCTTCCTTAAAAAACTTTCAAAAAAGTCTGTTCAACAGTATCTGCAGCAGAGTTAACCTGCCCAATTTGAATCTGAACAAAATCGTCACGAAGAAAACTTTGAACCAGATCGTTAATTGAATGTTCATATGTTGCAGAAAACATTAATACACGATGAGTTGGGTACTTTGAAATTTTTATAAGAATTTGAATTAAAATTATTTTTAATAAAATTTTGGAAAACTTTAAATTATTTTAATCGTTTTCTCCGAAAAAATACTTGTACTTAAGGAGACTATGGTTCGATGCCTGGCGTCAGTAGTGGCTGCTTTAGTGTAGCCCCTGTATAGCACTTAAAAAGGTGGTACACGCTTCGAGTGGGGGAGGAAATCGGGTCTAGCTTTGCTGGTAAATCTCGAGATAGCAAGGTTCGAGATTTACAAGAGATTTGACCAGACTTGGTAATGGACATGGGGTTTAGTATCCGTATATTTACGGCGGATACATGTGGATATCCGCAGGCATTTTAAAATTATCTGTATCCATTACCAAGACTGTTATCCTTACTCCCCCTATTAAGTTCATAGACAGTCTTTGCGTTTGATTTAATTATCGAAATCCATCCAATTTTCCTGGATGTATTAAACATTTAAAGCTTTCCGAGAAAATAAAATTAAATTTAAAAAAATAAATTACAATATTCTTTTGCTGTTTAATTTCTTTTACACAGCTATAAAAATTATCAACCTAAAAATATAAAATTAAACAAAAATTATTTTTTTTATTTTAAACTTTAAGAAGTTTGTCTGCCTCATCTAATACCAAAAATCTCAATTCTTCCAAAGATATCTGAATTTAAAATTAATTTTTTTCCCTTCAAAAATCCCATTAAACAAACATATTTTTCTTCAACAAATTGAGAAAGTCTTCCACAAGTTGCTATAAAAATATCACAACCATTAGTTAACCCAGCTACACTTGCCTTCATTGGCTTAAAAATTTTTTGAAAAAAAATATTTTTAAAAATTTTCAAAATTCCTTACAATATCCCCAAAAGTATAAGAAACAGTTACTCCAGTTCCTTCAAAAAATAAAATTTTATTTAAGTGGCTGTAGTTTAGTATATCGAGTTTTAGTTCCGATACAAGACACATACCATCGAATCGACTCAGCGAGCTGAGTCGAACGGTACCACTCTTTTTTGCCGGAGACCGAGATATAGGGCCCCGAAAATCGAAAAACCGTAGGGGGGAGTTGGTTTTTCGATTTTATATCTCGATCCACAGGCATCTCCGGCAAAAAAGAGTGGTACCGTTCGACTCAGCTCGCTGAGTCAATTCGATGGTATGTGTCTTGTATCGGAACTAAAACTCGGTATACTAAACTATATCCATTTAAGTAATTAATTTACTTAAGGAAAAAGCACAAGCATCATCATATAATTGTTTAACCAATTCTTTTGTTGGAGAAACAATAATAGCATAAGGAGTATAGCTATTTGTATCAAATCCCCGTTTTCTCGAAAAATGTTGTAATCTGCTGATAATTGGTAAAAGAAAAGCAGCAGTCTTTCCTGAGAGAATTTTTGTTTAAAAAATTAAAGGTTAATTAACCGCTGCCAGTTTGTGCATGACACAATAAATCATCTAAAAAATAAATTTTTTGTTAATTTTAATAATCAAAGTGAACTTTTCTTTTTCGTTATAAGAGGAATAACAACTCGTTGAACGGGCGTTGGTTTCTTCAATTTTTTAAGTTGAACATTAAGCATTAATTCGGCACTAAAACTACATTGATCGAAGCTTTCTATACGTCTATAAAATTTTTTAATTTATTTTTTAAAATAAATTAATAATGGGAATATCTGTCCGAAACGAATTATGTAAGTAATATTTAGGGGAGAGTGTATACTTAAATGTATAATAATCCCCCCTAATATTATGTAATATTATTGGAACATAACGAATGTTTTACAATCGTTAGAATAATTATTTTAATACTAAAATTATTTTTTTCGTAAAGATAATAGATTTTGATTATTTGTTAAGAAATGTAAAATCCTCTAAAGAATATTATTTTTCGAAATTTAAATATTTCTTCAATTATTCCAGAAAGTAATATTCTCCAAGAAATTCTTAACTTTCACAAAAAGGGAATTTTATTGGAAAATATTTTTACTCGAATTGAACATCAGTTCCGTCACAATTTAACACAGCCGTAGCTTCATCATAAACTTCACAAATTTCATCAAACATTTCCCCTTCCTTTACTTGTTTATTTTCATCAAAAAGTTCCCATTCCTCTGCTTTAGGCGGCAAAAACTTTTCCCTTTTTGCTTAAAATTTCAAAGATTTTTCAAAAATATTTTAATTAAATAAATACTTTGGGGTTTTTCTTTATTTGAATTATTCTCTGAAATAAATCGAGGAGCAAAAGTACCAAACTAAAAAATAATTTTTGATAAAATCCATCCAAAAACCTCATTTCGTTGACTCCCAACATTTCTTTTATTTTCAATTTTTCCAAGAAATGTTTGGCTATTATTAGCAGAATTAAAATTATTTATTGAATTAGCATTTGACCAGTCATTTGTCCAATTATTGTTTGAACAATCATCGATTTTATTATTTTGATTGGTTTTTTCTGAACCAAAATTTTGGGAGGATTTTTCATCTAAATACATAATATACTTTCAATTAAATTTTTAAAAGTTTCCTCGCCTCTTAAACTCGGATTTGTATTTAGCCAACTTTGGCAAGAAAATGTACTTGGAGTATCAAATATATTATGTCGATTACTCTTTGATGTCATTATTTAGAATTTTTTAAAATAATATGTAATACTAGTACAAATTTCCTAAAAATATTTAAAAAATTTAGACACAAATGTATTTATGTAAATATTATTATTTGCATTATTTTAACGAAAATTTAAGTAAAAATTTTTTTCTTTTAGAAAAGTATAAACTTAAGACATTTATTTCGGAAATCTTTTAGTTGTTTTAAAATCCCACCACAACTAGTAATTGTACGTATAATTCATAACTTTTCATTTAAACCTTTCTCCAACAACAAACTCAACATACATACAAACTCTTCCCTCATTTTCAGGCAAAGAAATATTTTATGAGAAATACAAAGTTAGTTAGTAGCCAGTATTTCCTTCATTCAATAAATTGATTTTACTTTCCTCGCTAACCACATTTTGTCAATTTCATCGATTCTCATCGACTTTATTGCGCTAGCTAGTTGGTATCCGAAAAGGGCCAATCGTTAAGAATCAATTCATTGATTCAAATTGACTTTATTGAACATTAACGATATTTAATGGAAGGATATATTGAATTTGAGAATTGGCATAGGAGGAAAGAAAAGTAAGAGAGAGAGAGAGAATGCAATGGACCTCACTTGCTTCTTATTAGAAAAAAGAGTTTGTGGAAAAGAGTTATGTAAATTTGTAAAATAGAATTGAAATTTTTTAAATAATTCATACAGTATTTTTGGTAAAATTTTGTTGTGACTAACAAGGAACAATATCGAACTGTCACCAAAAATTTCGTAATAATTTTTATACCATCGTGTAGAGCATAGTCGAAACCATATTGTAGTACTTTTCTTTTTCGGCCCTACCCCCCATTTCGAAAAGTTATAGGGCTTCAAAGTTTTCGACTTTTGGAGCGGTTGAGTCGCCCTCAAAAAAAAAGAGATTTTTCTTTTAATAAGGGGAAAAATAAGACCAATTTCTAAAGAATCTATTTGCCAAAATCCTTGTAGAACATCTTTTATTCAGCGCCGCAGACGAAAATTTTGAGGATTTTGGTAGGTCGTAAGAGAAAAAAATAACATTTTATCCTAAATACTACAAACTCATAATCTTTAAAATACAACAAAAATCCACAAATCCGCATTTTAAAAAATAATCCTCATTGACATAAAGAAAAACCACAAAATTAGGAAAAATCCGCACATATCGAAACCCTGTCATAACTCAATTGAATTATCTAATAATTCATTGAACGAAATGTTATAAATCGAAAAACTTAAATGCTAAATACCGTAAAACCTTTATTAACTACCATGGGTAATTATTGTTTCGTCTTTCCGCTGGAGGGCGTAATTAATCAGAAATTAATCTCAGAAAAAGGTTGATCTTATCACCATTCTCGAAAAAGCTATTGCTTTTAATAACATGCTTAATATTTATTCATTAGTTTTTTAAGTGTAAATTTTATTTCGCATCAATTTTTTGTTTCTTTATTATTCTTCATTCACTCATCATCAGTAGAAAAGCATGAAACTAGAGTTCATCACGTCTAAATTATTAATTAGTATTTTATTCAGTTTTAATTTCGGATAAGCTAAATTCTAAACCAAAAACCTAATAACGTATGATTCTCGAGAGCGCCAACCTAACCGTGAGTAGAAAAGCCTCAAGTCATGATATAAAAGAAAAGCTTGTAACTTACAACATCATGGCCATTTGGTTTTGGATCCAGCCGTGAAAATCTTTAATTCTCAGAAAAAGGTTGATCTTTTCACCATTCTCGAACGTATATACGCCTTTGTATAAACCCCCAACAACCGTTTTTCCCTTTTCCCTCCATGTCAGACCTCCTCCACTATCGCCGCCCTCAAATACACCGGTTGTTGAAAATAAGTATTCAAAATTTTCAAATTTGTGTCGTAATATCTTAACCGTTTTCTTCTGCAAAACATCAGGGTATATAGGCTTTCCGTTGTTATATCCTATGGCACCGAACCCTCAAAATAAAATATTTAGCGTTAAAAACCGTTCTATATTTACCATAAAACTTAGCCCGCTCTCCGGCTATTTCACTTCTGTCCGATAACATAATTCTTTTTCCAGAGCTAATTTTTTCTTTAGTAAGTAAAATAGCCAGATCTACTTGTTCATGTTTTTTAACTTTTTTAATTCGGATAAATTGACCGTCAAACGGTATGTTAGAAGCAATTCTAACATGAAACAACTTCGGATCCAGATTTTTGACATCAAGCACGCAATGTGCCGATGTCAACACAAAACGTTCTGCGATGGAAAATCCACCGCATAACTAGAATTTTTCAGAATTTGATAGCTTTATAAAAATACTAGTCTACTCCCATATCTGTCAGGTTGTTGAGCTGCGCAAACCAAAGAGTGTCCCATATATTTGCATCTTCGCCATCTTGAACACGGAATTCTATACTGTCATCAGAGCGCATTTTTTCAACATTTTTATCTGATTATTTTAGAACAATATTAATAATATTTAAGAAACGATAAAGTATGTATGTATAATTCTACAGATGTAAATACCTTTTAAATATAGTAATTCATTAACCTCTTCATTGTAAGCGGCATAGTTATCAATTTCATTAATTTGTTTTTCTTAAAAAAATTTTAAATACTAATTTGATTATTTAATACATCAAATTAAATTAATAAATCTTAAGAGTCTACCAGTCAAATGAAATTTTCCAACAGAATTCGGTAAGTGATACTCATCCAGACGAATTGGAGCATACTATAGAATTAAATAAAATGTAATTTATAATAGATATAAGCAAATACCTTTGATTGGTATTTGATACAAAAAGAAAGGCTAATATAGAAGAAAATCGTTAAAATAACTAATTTTAGCATGATGTTGTTTTAACTTTAGCCTTAAATATTCTGAATATAATTGAAAGGCTATATTATATATCTATTTCAGGTTTTACAAGTAAAGGAAAGCTTTTTGTCTTAATAATTCATAAAAAATATAAATTCTGGTTGCGGATCATGAGAAATCCCTGGATTTCTCATGATCAAATATCCAGACCCACCAGTCTTTGTCCAAACTGGCATATCTAAGGTCATTTAATGTTCTAATTAAAAAATAATAGTAAACTTAGAAATAAGAGGTTGAACGGTTCTTTAACTCGATTTATGAGGCAAAACTGTAACAGTTTATATATGTATGTTTCCGTTAGCATTTATGCATGAACGTTTATTAAATAACATTTGCTGCTTTATTGATAAAGTAAATGTTAAATATTTTGATATTTAGGATTTGTGAGTTCATATTAAAAATATTAATGTTATGCTAAATAATTTTTTTCATCACAAAGGTCATTTTATTATATATTGACTGAACTTTTATTCTCAAAAATATAAACCCTAAGATTAATCATCAAATAAAAACCTGCAAAATATGTAGGCCAACATTAGCAAACAAAGGTTAAAAAAGGAAATGCTGATCTTATTTCTCTACTAAAGGAAAACATAAAATTAAAAGAAAAATATAAGACCGAATAGGAATTTGAGATATCTCTGAAGGAAGTTTATCTCTTATTGCAAACAAGAATGGCTTTTGCTTTATCAATTCGGGTATTTTAAAGACGTCGTCTGATTTCAATAATTTATTGTTTAAACATTGACTCCACGAAATTAAAAAAATCATTGAATGAAATGTTATTTATTTGTTAATGTTATTTACATATTTACTTTAAATGCCATCATGTTGCAAAACCTTTGCAACTTTTTTTTGTCAAATAATTTTTAAAATTACTTTCTTAAATTATATAAATCTTAAGTTTTAAGTATTTACATGTATATGTATTATTTAGAATAAATTTCTCTAAAATAACTCAAATAAAATTTTCTAATTTTATTTAAATAGCTGTTAAATACTTTTTTTTATTAATAATAAATATTTTCCAACTTGAAAATATAAAAAATAAATCTCAATCAATTAAATATATTTTTAAATTTAAATTAAAAATGAAATTAATTAAATTTTATTTTTCTATATTTTTTATTTTAAATTTTGAAATAAAAGTAGGTTTAAGTAAAACTGAATTATGTAATGATGGAATAACACCTTTGTCTTATCGTATGTTAATTCTTTTGTTTAATAATTTTTAAAATTAATCAAAATTCTTAAGAATTTATTTCTTATGCATTTTTAGTTTAGATAAGTGTTTTTATTAGGGGGTTGTTCATAAGTGTTTTTAGTCTAGATTACCTATTTTATAAAACAGAATTTTAACTAACTAATTCATTTTTTCCAAAATTTAGCCGAAAATCTGGCTCAGAGTTCATTAAGATTTCGATTACAGTTTTTTTCAATTATAATTTTATAACATTTACAGCTTGTTTCCAACAACAAAAAATATGCCAATGGAATACAAGTATGGGGTGTGAACAACATGGACTTTACCTCTTTTGCTGTTAATTTAATAATAATATTTTTTATTAAATTTTAATTTTCTTTAAATTTAAATAAAAATTTAAATGTTTAGAATAAAAAATTGTTAAGAAAGTTAAAAAAGAAAATAAATTATAGGCCCACATTTCAACCCAGAAACAACAAAAACAATCTCAACAACTCAAATTATTTCCACAACTATTGCCTCTACTGTTTCACAATGCACAGATAATTATAAACAGTTGAGATAATTTATAGAGTCAATTGAATTTAAAAATAATTTTAGATGTAAATTTTGGGTTTCAAGTGGACTTTGTAAACATGTTAATTATTCTGATTGGACAAAGGCAATGTTATGCCCCGAATCTTGTGGTTTGTGCTATTTAATTACAACCTCCTCAACAGTCGGTGAGAATTTTTACTTGAATAATTTTTTTTTAAATTAAAAAATATTTCTAAAAAATAATTATGTAATTTAAATAAAAATTTTAGTTTCTACCACAACAGAAGAACAATTGCTTAATTTAATTGAAAATGAAGAAAGTAAAAATAAAGAAGAAAATACTTCTTCTACAACAGTTACTTATTCTACAATTACAAAAGAAATTAAAGACGGTAATCCTGAAAACGAAATCCCCATTAAATGGGGGGAAGTAGATGATGAAAATGAATACAAAAAGAGATTGGATGAAACTTCAAATCCAGAAGAGAAGGAAAAATCTAAAAATTCTCAAGACTCCGAGAAGATTGAAGAAGAGAATACTTCTACAACAACTTTTCTGTATTCTACAGTGACAAATAAAGGAATTGAAGAAGGTTGAGAAATTAAAAAATTATTTTAATTTAAATAAAATTTCAGTCCCTCCAAATGAAATACCAATTAAATGGGGGGAAGTAGATGATGAGGATGGATATAAAAAGAAATTGAATGAAAATTATAGAAATAAAAATAACCAAGAAAAATATAAAACAACTTTATCATATTCAATAAAAGAAAATGAGAAAAGTAATTAATTAATTTTTAAATTTTTCGTTAAAAAATTATTTTGATTAAAGAGATCAAGACACGATATCGAAACAAAAGTTTCGGTTATCGAGAATCTATATTTTTCGAGATACATCTCCCAGACCTATTCCTAGTCCTATTTCTAATTTTTAATTATTTAATCCTTTAATTTTAACAATAAAATTTCAGTTTTTACTACCACAACAGACAAACAACAATTTAATTTAAATACGGAAGATAATGAAGAAACAACAACTCCTCTATTAATTAAAGAAAATAAAGAATTATTAAATAAACAAAAAAAGAAAGAAGAAAATTTAAAAGAATTAAAGGAATTAATTAAACAAAAGTCGAAAAATGTTAAAAAATTGAATGAAGAAATTGAAAAAATGGAAGAATTAAAAAATAAAAATAAAAAAACAAAAATTTTAAATAAAATTGAGGAGGAAGAAGAAAATTCTTTGCAAGAAATTCGAGAATTACAGAGAGAAGACATAAAAATAGATAATTTAATTAAAAATGATGAAAGAATAAAAAAGGAACATTTAAAGGAATTAAAAAGAATTGTTGAACAAAAAAGAAGAATTGTTAATAAATTAATTGAAGAAATTGAGGAAATTGAGGAGGAAAAGAAACAAAGAAGTACTTTGGGACCTTTAATTAATTAATTAAATTTTACTAAATATTAATTATATTTTTATGTACATAATTAAATATTTATTTAATATTTATAGTTTTTGGTAGGGAATAAAATAAATTAGAAGAAAATAAACAATAATTCGGGATCTTTGTTGAAAATTAATTTTAGAAGAGTTTGTGAATGTAAAAACTTTTAATTTTAATTTATTCAAACTAAGAATTTTCCTGAGCTCGAATTGACGCCTTTAGTTTTAACATTTAAGATTTAGCGTAGAGGCTTGGATATATAACAAAAAATTAGGAAGATTTTTTGATTTAAAAAATATTAAAAAATATTACTCCAAAAACAGAGCAAAAACCAAATATAAAATTCTTTGTTTGTGAAGAAGTGTATCGAAATTTCAGATTTGCCCGTTCTCGTAATTTGTACCAAGTACGAATTACGAATCTTGGTCCGAGCGGAAATTAAAAAAATCTGGCAAATATATATTCTCGTTTGATTTACCCTACACAATTAATTACCCTGCAATACATTCTTAAATTATTTTGGCTGATTTAAAGCCCATGCTTAACAATTTTCTATCAAAATTAATTTAATATATTTATTATTATTCTCTTTAATTTTTACTTAAATTATTTTTGTTTGCCTAGCTTGTTTTATATTTTTCTATTTACGCCGTTCATTCAATTTCGTAATTATTGAAAATAAAAATTATATTTTAAAATCTATCTTTTCTTTAAAATTTATTTTTTTACTACAAGTATTCAAGCTTTTATTTTTTTAAACAAATATATTTCTTTCTTAAATAATCTTTGTTTATTTACTTTTTTTATTCTTTTATCTCCATTCTACTAAAATTTAACTGAACAAGATAAAGCTTTTGTCAATAATTTTTTGGAGACTACTTAACGCTCGTTTTTATTTATTATTAGCTTTTTTTACTTTTACGTTCTTCTTTTCTTTTGTAATACATAAGAGAGTGAAAGCAAGCTAACTCTCTCTGGATTTTTAAAATAATTTTTAAAAATCAGATTCTAAATTTCAAACAGAAAGGGTTTTTCTAAAAGAGATGCTTGTATGTATTATGTATTAAAGTATCTGATAAAAATTTCTAATTTTTTTATTTTTTAACTACTCAAAATCATCTAAATTCTTAAAATAATTAAAATGCCGCGCACAATCGAACACAAAATAAAATTAATTGGATCTACAACTCCTTCCTCTGTTATATCAGAGTATGGAACTGTTGAACGAAGGAAGAGTCCTTCCAATTTTGATAATGAAATTTTACATTCTCGTGGAAATGAAAATAATAATAGAAGTCAAGTTAGTGTTAAAAATAAATATTATTTAATCTTAAAATTACAAAAAAATATTTTATTAAATTAGATTTTAAAAATAAAACATTTTTTTAATTAGTCAGCTAATAGAAAGGCAAACGAAATTACCTATGGAAAGGAGAGCTTTGAGAGGAACTTACATTACTCCCCTAATGAGGTATTTTTAAGTAGCTACAAAAAACTTTTTATTCAGAATGTTTAAATTGCACATTCCAAAATTCTGATTATTTATTTAAATAATATTTATTATAATAAAATTATTAAAGATTGAACGTGAACAATTTTCTTGTCGAACTTATGGAGAGCGATGCTCTTTAAACGGTGAGGACAACGATAGGAAAGACAAGTAATTTTTCTGATTTTCACTTAAATATGTATAATTAAATTTTGAATTACAAATTTTAATAAACAATAAAACACAAAATAAAATTTTTTAAATCAAATTTAATATCTTTAAAAGTAAAATTACAACTTCTGTTTAGTAGATTCCGAAACAAAAATGCCTTAGAACCCATCCATCCAATTAGTCACAATTACGATAATTCTGATCCATTTTCTCATCCAATGCATAATGATAATGAATGGAATGTTTTTGATAGTGATGATGATATTAGTAGAGATTTAAAGAATGAAAGAGAGGGGGTAAGAATTAAATATAGTATTTCAAATAAATTTTGGGAATTTTGTGTTTAAAATTAAATTTTATAAATAAATTCCTTTCCCATGGACCCGCTAAATAAATTTGGGATTAAATAACCGAGTTAAATAACACTGTGTTCAAAATGAAATACGTAAATCCCTTCTCTTAAAGAAAATTGATATAAAATTATATAAAAATTATTTTAAATAAGTTGCCAAGACTAAGTCCATCCAAACAAATTAATTCAAGTAATGAGAGAAGAATATCTCCTAAAATTACTGTTCCAGCAGAGCAAAATAAACATTTCTATAAAAATAATTATTTACCAAATAATATTCAAAATCCTCTAGCAATGAAAAAAATTATTAAAAAATCACGTCTGGTCAGTATACATGATGGTAGACCATTAAGCGATTTTGTGGAGACTGTGCATTATGAGCCGATAAATTATTGTAATTTTTTAAAGAGATTAATATAAAAATTAATTTTTATTCATTTCAAGTATCCTCCTCATCTCCTTCTCAAATTTCATCTAATTTAACAAACTTTGAACAACCGAAGAACAATTATTGTTCTTCTTGTTCATTATCTGAAGATGAAGAAGAAAATAAAAATTTAAAAGGGAAGAAAAATAAAATAGTTGATCAATCATTAAACAATAATAATTTAATTAATTTAACTCAAAATCCATTATATTCTTCTTTTTGATAGTTTAAAGCAGGGCTTCGATCTCGAATTTTTAAAAATCCGCAATTTCGATCGAAAAAATCCGCATTTTATATGAAAAATCCGCAAAAAAATTATCAAACACAAAAATTGAATTGAGCAATTTGTTCACTACTAATAACTATTTTATTAAAATCCGAACTATTAAATAAAAAATTACAGTTGACTTAAGACAATGCTTTCACCGTCCCTAGGTGTAGTGAATTGCTTACTCGAAAAACCCTTCATTTTTTGCGCCGCATGCGAAAATTTTTCGGATTTTAGAAGACCAAGAAGCCAAAATCGTCCTTTTTCAGCGCCGCAGGCGAAAATTTTGAGAATTTTGGATATCCTTAAGCCAAAAATCTTCCATTTTCGGCGCCGCAGACGAAAATTTTGAGGATTTTAGAAGGTCTTAGCAAAAAATAATGACATTTTATGCTAAAACCCACAAGAAAATATAAAAAATCCTCATAATCTTCAAAAGACCACAAAAATCCGCAAATCCGCATTTCTAAAAATAATCCTCATCGCCCTGACAAAAAACCACAAAATGAGGAAAAATCCGCAGAAATCGAAGCCCTGGTTTAAAGTCGTTTTTTTGTAAAATCTTCACTATTAAATATTTCTGTCGTTTGTAAATAAATTTTCTACAAATTAGGGTCTTCAATAAAAAATTTTGATTAAATTCTAACTATGAATTATTAACTATACATATTTCACTAAAATAAAAATAAGTAAGGTCACCTATTGTAATCTAATTGACCATTATTTTGTAACATACCTATCTAGATACGTATTTTTAAGTTTTACAGTCTCGATCCTTCCTTAGAAAATTTTATTTATCAATAAAGTTTTTAAAAATGACTTTATTGACCTTTTAAAAAATAATATACCTAGGTACATATATTTAATTCATTAATTAGAAAATTTTAAATAACAAAAATTCATTTAAGTGGAGTAAATATTTATATGTAACATTTAATTAAGCAGATGTTTAATTTTAAATTATTACTTTGAAAATGAAAAATTGAGTAAATAAAAGTTTAATAAATATGTATTTAAATTATGTATGTACATAATTCAACATCTGCTTTTAAATGAATAACAAAAAAATTACTTTAATTTTTTGTTAAAATTAAAGAATGTGAATTACAATTAAACTTTTTTTATATTTATGAATTACAAATTTTTCTTTTTAAATATCGTCATGCATTTTATAATTCCATAAAATTTTTAATATTATTCGAATTAATTTATAGGGAATTTTAATAACATTTACTCTTCTTTTAAATTAATTTGACTAAATTTTAATTTTATTATATAAAATTCTTTTAATCTAGAGATTTAACAACCGTTTTTAATTAAAAAGGAAATTATTTTAAAATATGAATACTACACAGACTGTTTCTACTAATATATCTGCAGGATTAAATGTATATATTTTTTAAATTTAACATTTTAATTAATTGAAATCAATTTTTCTTTAATTTCAATTAATTTCCTCCCATTTATCATTTAAGTAATAAAAATAAATTAAGAGTAACTATTTGACATACAAAGATGCTGGTGTATTTCCATTATTTTTAATACCTGCGCTAATCCTTTCTACAATTGCTTTAATTGGAATAACTTTAAATTTTAGTGTTTGCTATATAACAATTAAATATAGGTATTTTTAATAAAGAATTTTTTTAAATAAAGGGGAATGAAATAAGTGAAATATATTAGAGTAAGTCGAGCTCGAGCGAGTTCGAGTTACTCGACTCGACCGCTCGGGTTTTTTGCGTAATTACTCGACTCGGAACTCGGGATCATAATACTCGGATTACTCGAGCTCGGAAACTTCCTACTCGACGTACTCGGTTAAAACCGAGTATTTTTATGCCCCCATCTGCGGCGCAAAAAGGAAGATTTTTAGCTTAAGGATCTTCCAAAATTCTCAAAATTTTCGCCTGCGGCGCTGAAAAAGGAAGAAATCTAGTGTGATGGTCTTCCAAATTTCTCAAAATTTTCGCCTGCGGCGCTAAAAGAAGAAATTTTGCTCTCTGGCCTTCCAAAATTCTCGAAATTTTTGGCTGCGGCGCTGAAAAAGGAAGATTTATGTATATCGGAGGATTCAATCAAGCTAAGTGGATTTTCTTGATATCCGGATATTTCAAGGGATCTAAAAGAATAGCGAGGGATCTGGCCTTCTGAGAATTGGTGTTCCTACTTGACCTTCAGAAATTCTCAAAATTTAAGCCAACGGCGCGAAAAGAGAGGGATAGAGCAACGTATCTCATGATCACCTTTCGGCAATATATCTAATCCGACGATATCCCAATTAATCTCCCGAATTTCCAAGATTTTGCTTTTAATACACCCAAATCTCACTATAATCGGCCTAAATCCCGCTTAATCCCTTGATATCCATCTCATTCATCTGTTATCATTCGATATCTTCTTAATCTACACGAATTCCCGAAATAATATTATCCATTGATGTTCAACCCGGAGCCCGATTCAACATTGATCGTCTGCATATCATGGAATTTTTGCGGATTAAGAGGGATATAGACGGATTAACGAAAATAACTGGGATTTGGATGAAGATCTAACGCATTACTGCCAATAAATGCTCAAAACACGGCACTGAGGATGAATAGTCTTTAGTAAAAGTATTGTTTTTATTGAAATTATTTTAAAATACTGTTTTATAAAAAATACTCGATTACTCGACTACTCGAACTCGAATTCGGCCTAAAAAGTTGAGCTCGAGCTCGAACTCGGGTTTTTCAAACTCGGATTACTCGAGCTCGGTTTTTTCCCAATTACTCGGTACTCGACTTACTCTAAAATATATGCAGTTTAGTACAATGCTCTCACATTAACGTAAGATTTTTAACTATCCGGGAACGTAAATAAATTTGATAAGATGGCAGACAAATGAAAGTTATAGTTAGCAGGATGTAATTGATAGTACATATTACATAGGTAACACCTTCCAATTGACAATCAAATAATAGTGTTAATGTGAGAGTAACGTGAAGTGCGTTAAATACAAGTGAGGCTACCTGTATACGTAATAATGGAGTTGTGAAATGCTATAAAAATAAATTATAAAAATGTTTAATTTAGGAAGATTTTTAATTTAAAATTATTAAGAGAAATATTTAATTTAAATAGGTATTTATTTAGAAAGAAATATTCAGCACTTCGAAGCAACACATCTATTTTAATTTTATTTTATTCATTTTTTGAAATTCTTCACCAATCTGGACATTTTTTCTATTTATTTTTAGCTTTGAGTGGGAAAAACTTTATTCCGTTTGGAAAATCAGTTTATTTCAACACACAAAGTGTTATTGGTTATACGTCATCGCTTCTAATGTTTAATTCTCTAAGTTTTGACAGATTTTTGGCTGCAGCATTTCCAATATAGTAAGTTTAAATAATTAAAAAATAAAGGTGGAATACTGAACCAAAAATTCTAAAAGGACTTTTTAGATAAATTTTGTTCTCTAAAATTTTATTCATAAACTTAACTAAGCTTTCTAAAATGCCCTCCGTACTTTACCTAAACAGACCAGTCCATTATATAATTATCAAACTTTTCAGTTATCAATGCATCAAAAAGAGGAAATATATTTGTGTTCACCTTTCTATTATACTATTATTTGATTGCTTAATATTTTATAAAATTTTACATACAGCTTTATTTTTTTATGATTTGCCAGTTGATGGAAATATACCTACCTCTCTCAATGTGATATTTAACGACATGAGAATTCCCGTTTCTATTTCAACTTTAACTTATTTTCCTTCAATCATCCTTTATTTTGCTATTGGTTTAATATTAAAATATAGAGAAGGTCCTTTTAAAAAATTTATGAAAAAAAAGGATGAATTCTGGCTTCTGGGAATCTTGAAAATTCAAAAAATTTCGCCTGCGGCGCTAAAATGAGATGAACAGTGGTTTTCAAGTCTTTATAGACTCTAAAAATTTTGGCGTTTGGCGCGCCA